GTGTGTGTGGTGTGTATTGTTTTTCCTGAAAATCACAAAGTCCTAAATAATGCCGATAAATGGTGTGTTGTTATGCACGCTAGATAACTTGTAGTAACTGTTGAATGCCACAACCAGTTTTGGTGTTTTGTGTCTAACAGCCGGCGAAAGAACGAGGCTCACGTGGAGTTGGTGTACATCCGGCGCACGCGCGGCGCTGCGCCGTGGGTGGTGGGATGAGGCGTCGGGCCGCGTGGGCCGGCGGCGCGTGGTGGGCGGCGGCAGGCGCTCAGCCAATGGCAGGAGCGCGTCCTGTGGGCGACTGCGGCGCTGGGTGCTGCCGATGCTGCCGTCGGGCTGACGGCGGCGCTGCGATCGGAAGAGACTCCCGCGGGGGCTCCGCGCTCTTCGTGGCGCTCTCCAAGCCCCTGTGGGCCTGGCCGTGGGCGCCGTAGTGCTGCTGTGCGCCGCGGGCGCGCCCCGCGCCTCAACGCGCTGCTGTCGTGGGGGGCCGTGGCGGTGGGCTCGCCCGCCCTCCTTCGCCGTCCTACCTGCTGCACCGCCGTCGTCCAGGGGCATCACGATGTGGAGCCAGCGTTTCAAAAACAATGCCATCGACGTCGTCACCGTAAGCTGGCCCTCCTCCCCATTGTACGGAAACACCTCTTCATAAACAATGTACTTTTCACTGGTAAGCAGCTTTTATGTCTAATACTTATTTGCCCAGATCATAACTGGCCGTACTTCCTCCTGACCATCAATAAGACCTCAAGCCATTCATAATGGCCTAAAAAGCAACTTATAGGCTTAAACTTATTAATTGAAAATATGTAAAATCTTATTAATTTTAAAAAAATTAAATAGAAATAATTTTAATAAAACTGATATGTATGTGCGTTGGACCAAAATGTTGACGTATAATAAAGTGAATAGTAACAAAAGATGTAAACCTTCAAATACCTTGGAACTTTAATAAACAAGTCGGGTACATGAGTCACAACATATAACTCAAAACCTAGTTATCATGGGTATAAAGCAACCAAAAGTTTACACGGCGTATTAACGAATAATATTATCCGCAAGATTTCAAATAAAGATATTTTCCTTGTGAAAGTTACAATATAGTACTACAGGAGAGGAAATTTGGCCCAAACGCAAAAAAAAAAAGAGATAAGAAGTAGGACAGTAGGTATGGAGTACATGAAACGATGCTTTAACAAACTTATTTCGGGCAGAGACAGGAGTATGAAATGAAGCAAAATGGGGAAAGGGCGGGGGGCGGGGGGGGGGACGGGAATTAATGTAATTTTATCTTATAGAAAACGTTAGAAATTAGAGCCCACAATGGTATTGACATGTTCAGAGCAGTCTGAAAACAGACAGTCCACACACGTATTTTAAGTGGCAACCCTGAGTCAGAGTACATCTAGAAAGTCTATGAGGATAGAGGTCTCAAACCAGGAGATTGAGAAGGACGAGAAGCCGTGGAGGCGTGAATAACGGCGACCTCTAAGCGGAAAAAGCCGGAGAAGAATAATTTTAAATTTCTATCAAATGTTTTATTATTTTTTGTAGACAAAGGGTTTGTTTAGTGAACTTCGTAGAAAAGAGTTCAAAAACCGAGAAGAAGTAACTTATCATTAGGCTATTTCTTGGATAATTATTTGAATCTAAGAAGCACTGCAAGGTGATGTCTGAAACGCTTCAATGAGATAAACTGATCAGGTGTGTGAAATGAACAATTTCCAGTAAAATAATATCCATGTTTCGTTGCACGTACTACTATTTCTTCAGAGGTGAATATTTAATTTTCTGGTAGATCCCGTGATCTGGGCTGATGTGGTGCTGACGATCGCCTTGGCGCTGCGGTCTCCATCCTCATCGAAGCCCCGTTCAATCGCTCTGGAAGAGGCTGCTGTTGCGAGGGGGCAGTGCCCCCGCCAAAGCTCCCCTCCAGCGCCCAGTGCCGGGCGCCCCCCCTCTCCACCCCGCCCCCTGAGGGCACGTGCAGGGCCGGAGCAGCGCAACGACACAGGACACACTCGTTCCACCTCTTCCCTCAACACTCAACAGGGTAACATATTTCTGCAAACCGATAGGGAATAGAAATGCGAAACTTACTGGTCCTGCTAATGATTCTGGAGCAGCACATACTTTCTCGCATAATTCTAATTCTAATATTGAAAATTTAGTTTTTACGTCCGATGACCTGACGCCATTTCTTTAAAGTCCTGGTTGTATCCCAAAGAAATTACTAGAGGTGCTAAAGAATATATCATTGGCTTTCCTACGTTAATGGTTATGTAATATAATTTATTAACGCAATTTCTGTAATATATCAAGCGCGTAGCGATGGTGTCCAAGAGCGCGGCGATGTGTAGCGGTATCGGCCTGGTATACCAAGTTGGCGAGTTCATACCCGGTCGAAGTCGTGGGCGCCGTTCCTACGGAGGGGAAGTAACGCCGGGCTCTCCCATGTTAGTAGATTTACTTGCATTGTAAGGTCCTTCAGCCTAAATGACCTCTGAAGCTAAATTCAAATCGCCTGTTTCTCGCCCAAGAAATAACTTCCTTCCTCTGCTAGTTGGTGAAAGGCGCGTAGCGACATTTTGCAAGGTCACACGTAAGAGCGGACTTATGGCCAGAATTCGCACGTAAACAAGGCTTTATTTCAATTCTATTCAATATCACCATATCTCAGTCATTGGGCGTTGACCACAATACGCGCACGCGCTCAGGCAGCTGTGAAAATTGGGAACATATAGTATATATTTTCCAGTTAAAAACGCCATTCCTGGATAAATAAAACCGTTTTCCAGTTTTCATTGTTGTGAATCTATAAGACTTTTTCTGGAGCATTATTGCTTTTATGACAACATTATTTATTTTCGTAGTGTCCCCTAGTGTATTCATATGATGATTCTTTGAATTTTTCATTTTCTTTTAAATGAAAAATAAAAACCATACAAAACCAGTCTCTTCATAATTATATCTCTTCAAAATTGAATGTAAACAGTAATAGATGGCCCGAATACAAATAAATCAGAACCCCGGTAAGACGACTAGTAACAAAGTAGGATTTGCCGAGCGCAGCATGCCACCCAATTATATGTAAATGTTAATATCTCCATGTTGAACGAAGGTGAGTCTCAACATGTTACTGCTCCAAGTGGATGTTTGGATGTAGATAGATGTAGATAATGAAATGGTGAATGAGTGCAAATAGAAGAATTGTTTGAATGCAATGAAAAAATTGAATCGATAAATGTCGTATATAGATATAAAAGTTAAGAAGTAACTGGAGTAGATTAAAAGTTTTTTGAGCTCTTGCTTGATACCCATCTCAGATATAATTTAGTGTGAGTGACTCACAAGAGGTTTTTTGAGGTGGTTTAATTTTGGGGAAAAGTCAAGGATATAGTCAGAATTTATTAGGACTTCTCAATAAAAGAGGCCAATATTTTTAAATTATAGTTTGAGAAAACGGACACTACACTACAGTTAAAGTCTAATTTTCATTAATCCACTTGCTTTTTAATATAATAAACGTTCACCTTTTGCATCCTGTCCTTCTGCATTATTGTTGAAGCTGATAATTTTCTATAATTACTTTAACATGGTTTAATTAAGTAACGACACCGAGTTTTACTTCTTCGGATTTTATATTCTTTGCCTAGAAGGCGTTAAGTTAATTTAATCGCCTTATTCACTGTTATAGCTTTTCTTCGAAAGAAAAGGCCTGTAGCACGTTTACACTCTACGTGACGCCTCGAAAGCGATATCGCCTCTCCACCTAGTGACGACCTTCATCAGAGAGCAACGTCGCCTCACAACAGACGCCTCTACGTCCAGCCTCGTTTGCGGCCTCCCGCCGGAGCTCTCTTCAGAACTCAGGACTTCGTCTGGCCACCTGGCGAGCAGCTCCATCCCAACAACTCTACATCCGCTTCTAGCATGACGTCACCTCTTGCCTTGCAACGTCGCTTCCAGACCAAGCGAACGACGTCTCATCAACCAGAGACGTCACCTTCTGATCCGGCCACGATTCCCTCGCGCCCTCCCTGGGACGTCTTTAGAACTCAGGATAACGGTTGGCCTGCTTGGCGAGA